GGCCGCCTGGGTGGGCGCCCCGAGGGGGTGACCGTTGCTTTCCCCCGTCCCGGGGCGGCGGGGCGGCAGGGGAGGTTCCGAGTGGTCGGCTGCAGAGCAAGCTGGCGGAGTGTTGTGGAGCGGTGGTTGCTCCCCTCGTGTTCCCCGGGGGCTGTCGGTGAACTCCTGCCGTCCCCGTGTAGCTCATAGCTCCCGTGGTGGATCGGTGGTTGGGCTGATAATCTCGGTAGAGGCCTGCCATTTCTAACGGCTGCGTGTGATTGCGTAGCTCGAGTGGGAAAGGGAAGAATTTCGGTATCTCGATGCGCGCCCCGGCCTGTTTCCAAGCTCCCGGCTGAGGTGCTAGCTCAGGCAAGTTTAATGATGTGGCAGGCCCAGGTGGGCTCCTTCCCTCACAGCCCCTGGTAATATCTTGCTTTTGATCTGCGGTGGGTTTGCAGCTTTACAGACTAGGCCCTGAGAATGCTGCGATTGAGGAGTGCCTGCCTGGCACCCAGCAGCCGTGTCGTACCTGCGTGCATCTCCCACGCTGCAGCGAGGAAACAGCAGAGCTAGCAGCCGTCCCAAACAAAGCTGATTTGAGGGCTCTGGTGAGATAGCCTCTCTGTTAAGAGCAAGTTTTCCTAGCATAGTTGCACAGTGTGCCCATCTGTGCTATACCACTCTGGATTGTGCGTATTTTTCTTTCATCATACACTGTTTGAAAGCTCCACCTTCCTGTGTGGGTGGACGCTGCTCACTAAAATAGTTAGCAAGGCCTCTGTGCTGATAATCCTTTCTCCTTCCCCATCTGGAAGTATGTGTTCTTTGCAGCTTCCCTATTCCCTGCTAACACATTTGCCACATTGGAGACCAAGCCTCAGATTTGGATCTCCTTACCCTAATCTTTATAGCAGCTTAACATAATCTTTATAGTTTTGTGCAATGTTCTCCAGCTGTTAGTCCTGAGTTTTATGAAGTGTCAGGACACCAGATCTGCAAGTTCTTGGGGACAGAACTACTTCAGATATGCAAACTTCTTTGTGGAGTTCCCTTATATCTTCTAGAACCCCAAGAGTTGTTTCGTATTGTGTCCGTGCCCTCTGTAGGAGGAGGGCAGAAGGATCCCATCAGTCTTATTTAGAATTAAGGTTTGTTCTCTCCAGGTCTGCCTGTATTTCCAGCTTCTGAAGTTGAACCAGCCTACTAACTATGTTCTTTCCTGGACTAAGTTATTCTCATACACAATCTGTTTTTGCCCATCTACTCAGATCATTGAATCGCTCAGTCTGTGAATAGACTAAAGCAGGAGAAAGAGCTCCAGCAGGAGCAGATCAATAAGCTAGAAGGTAGTGAAGGTAAAGGCACTGGAGCTTAAGCACTGATGGTTACAGGAGCCTCTTACACAGATCACTTCTTGTCTAGGTTGCTGAAGTCCTGTTGAAGAAACAAGCTGTGAGTGTAGTTTGGCACAGCGTAGCTCCATCTCCATGCTAAACAAGTGAGCACAGACAAAGTGTTGGATACAAGGCAGAAAGGGCTTTTTGAATTTTTCATTTCTTCCTTTAACTTTTCTTTAGTGATCTGAAAACCCGAGAAGCACCTTTGCTTCCCAGGAGGGAAAATGGACAGTGGAAAACAACTTGAACAAGTTGAAGTGATTTCCTGGAGGGCCATGACCAAGCTTGGTCTAGAGTCAGGTATCCTCACATGGAGTCCTTTGCTGAAACCCTTGTGATGCACAATATTTAGTCAGCTGGCCAAGTTGCTTTTGAGGGTGGTTAGTTCAAATATTTGAATTTTTAATGTGCGTCTTGCCTGTTTGTCTGCCTGAATATAGTGGTCCAGGAAGACAGGATTTCTGTTGTTTGCTGAGCATACAGCATAGTGACACAATTCTTGGGCTACTGCTGTATTCTGCCTCTGTCAGGGATTGGTATGGGACTGAACCTTGAAACCATGTTACTGGGTGTTCCTTGATCCTATTCTTATCCCTTCTGTCCTAGCAACTGAAGAGCTAGGCTGGGACCTTAACACCCCCTGCCTTTCCCATTTGCTGTTACAGAGGATGCTCAGTGATTGCAGAACAGCACTCGGAGCAGCTTGGAGGCCTTGCTGAGGAGGACAGAGGAGTTGAAAGCTGAATGCCATAACTAGCAAC